TGCAGGGGCCATTCGATAAGGTGATGCTGAGATGGGTCCTGTACCGGGTACAAGATCAATAGAAAATTCTACTTCCCTTGAAGGAGGTAGACCTGGAAGTTCCTCAGGGAATACATCAGGAAAATCACAAACCACAGATATGTCCTTATGGTTAGGTGTTTCCTTCCGTATATCCTTAACAGTGCACAAGAATGCTTCGCATTTCCTGCGAATGAGCCGTTTTGCTTGCATAAAAGAGATAAACTCTGGAGCTTTTGGGAGAAGTTCTCCCCGAATGATTACTTCGTTACCGTCGCGTGTACGAACTTTCACCACTCGTTCCTTGCACTCAACAATAGCCTGGTGTTTTGACAACCAGTCCATGCCAAGTATAACGTCAAACTCCTTGTGAGGGAGTTCAATGAGATCGGCCAAGAATATTCTTCCTTGAGCCATCAACGGACATTGATTATAGACATGTTGGAGACGTAGACTGTGTCCCAGTGGGTTCGACACAACTACCGGATACTCAAGAGTTTCCTTAGTGATGTCAGATGTAACAGGCATAGGTACACATATGTATGATAAGGTAGATCCAGGGTCAATTAATGCAGATACCGTGATATCAAATAAAGTGAACATACCCATGATGACATCATCAACCTGCGGATCTGTACGCCCTTGCATGGCATATGTACGAGCTGGTGCTCGTCCCTGCTGTTGACTAGTTGCTGGCTTCCTTGGTTGGTTGGACGCAGCCGTAGAACGATGACTCTGGGTAGGCTCGGCCCTTCGGACAGTAGGAGCAGTCGGCGTGCCTGGTGCCGTGGAGAAAGCCTTGCCAGGGTTCGTCGGGCAATCGTTCCGGAAGTGACCTGCCTGACCACACCCGAGGCAAAGACCCTGTGTGAACCAACACTAACCAACGTGTCTGCAGTTACAGTGTGGACATACTGGATTACGGTATGTCATCTTCTCCTTCCCGTTCTTACTAGTGACGGCCACAGATGTAGAGGGAGTAGATTTCGCTCGCTTATCATGGCGAGAGTTGCTCGGTGCGGAGAAAGTCCTCTTGCTTCCATGCCCCAATTTCGGGCCTGGATGGACGGCCTGACTTTCTGCCAGTAGTGCCTGTTCATACGCAGCTTTCCTGATGAGTTCCTCGTTCAGCTCAAGAGCTTTCTTATAGACATCGTTGATGTCGGCTCGGGGAGCAATTATGAGTGTTGACGACAGGTCTGGTCTCATACCCTTGATGAACTTCTTGCAGCGCTTCTCCACGGTGTTGACCAAGTCTTTACCAAACTCGGCCAATCCGTCAAACTGCTAACGGTATTCGGGAAGAGTCAGCTTCCCTTGAGTGAAATTGGAAAATTCCTCATATTTGGCCTCTACATAGTGATCGGGCACATACTCTGCTCTGAAGAGTGGCTCGAAGGTAGTCCATGGTACTGGCACGGGAATGTTGGCGCCCACCCTTTTCCACCAATCATAGGCGGCATCTTGCAACAGGGATATGGCGTGCTGTCCCCAATCCTCGACAGGTACCTTCAAAGTCTGGAGTACCCTCACCGTGCGTTCTTGCCAACGCTTGGCTATTTGAGGGTCCGCTATCTGGTCGCCACAGAATTCCTGCGCCCCATTCCTCTTGAGTTTCTCAATCAAGACAATGAGTGCAGAAGGAGAAGGTGGTGGTGGTACGTGCGCTCCAGCCATCTGCTGGAAGAACTGGAACTTGTTCGCAACCATTTGTGGTTGGAACATCGGATTGGCTAAATTCGGGTTCTGACCCGAGAACTGCTCCGGAACGGGCTGAGGTTCTAGCTGAGGCTGCAGCTGCTGGGGCACATAACTGGATGCTTCAGTGTGCACCGTATGTACACTAACGTGCTCAGGCTCCGCGTGAGGGTTTGCCTGACCGTGAGTCGAGTCTTGACTCATTCCATAATTAATTTAAATTGTAAACCAATTGTTTTACCTTCCCGGGCAGAGATGCGGACTTGTGTTTGAAACTCTTTTAATTTGATTTCCAAAATCTTTTTTTTTATCGAACGCTCTGATACCAAAATGTAACACCCCAACTCGAATAACCCAATTACCTAGATTATTTGAGCCGGAGTAGTTACCATGATGGTAAATACGCATGGAAATTTGAAGGATAATTTAAAACCAATTTAAATTTTCACATAAATAATAAATTTCAAATATTAAATTCAGAGTATTGCTGAAACAGTGCGGAAGCTTAAATATAAAACATAACCAAATCGTTTTACATTTTTCTGGGTTCTCGC